GAGTCAATGAAAAGTCTTTAAAGCTAGTCTTTTAGCAAGATTGGAGTTTTATATGTTGTGACTTAATTATAGGAGTAAGATCCTATAGCCTTTGCTGTGTTCTTTTTGTTAAATGCAAATCAAGATCCTGCCTATAGCCCATGGGAAGGGATTACAGAAAGGTGTGAAGAGGTGGAGAGCATGGAGAGTCATGTATACTTAAAACTTTTTAAGATATGGTTTGTTTAGTCATTAATTTATTCATCAAATATTTATTGAGGTTAACATCTGCTTTTCAGCTATGACAGAGTAATTGGATTGGATTTTTCCTCCAGCCATAAACAGCTATAAAAATGGACAAAATATATGAAGTAGAACTCTTTTCAGGCACTGGACATTAGAGAGAAAGAGAACAAACAAGGTGAGCACCACATTTAGCCCATCTCTGTGTTTCAGGGCAGTTTCCTGACTATGTCATGGGGAGTGGAACTCAAGCAGAGCAGGGAAGTCCTGCTGAGTTAAGAATGTAAACATTGGAGTTCTGGGCTACTGAAGCAGCTGGAATTTGCCAAGCAGGGTATTGGAAAAGTATAAGTGTGAGTTTCCCAAAAGTTCTTTACTGAGAGTTGGGCTGTACATGCATACAAGGTCAGATAGAGAATGCATTTTAGAGTGGGACAATTCCTGTTATACCTGGAGATATTGAATTCCAGTCCATCCAGGGTAGAGAGACCTAGTTAACATACTAAACATTTATCTGAGACCAGAAAGACCTACTACAGGAGTAAGAATTTTATCTCAGAGCAGGATTAGCAAATGATGGTCTGTACTAAATCTGGCCTACTGATGATTTTTATATGGCTTGTGTTCTCAGAATGGCTTTTATATATTTTAGGGGCTAAAAAATTTTCTTTAAAAAGAATAGTATTTAGTGAAACTTGAAAATTATGTGGAATATAAATTCTAGTGACTATAAATAAATTTATTTTAAAATGCAGCTACCCATGCTAATTCATTTACATATTACTCTGGGGCTATGAGGGCAAAGTTGAGCACTTGGCTATGGACACTGTGTGGCCCACAAGGCTAATATATTTACTATCTAGCCTTTTACAGAAGTTTGCCAACTCCTATTATACAGTAAAGATTGCTCTGGATTTGCTCTAATAAAGTGTAAAATTAGGCCTTTTAGGGATCAAGGAGAGGCACTGGGCAAAACAAAACTCACCAAGAAAGATAGCATAATCTAGAATCTTTACACTGTATTTACAGTATCCAGCATACAACGAATATTTACTATACATGCAAATAAGCAGGAAAACTTGAACCATATGAAGGGGAAAATGCTATTGATAGAAACTGACCCTGAGATAACCCATATTTGGAATTAGAAAAAATGAATTAAAGCAACTATTTACTCAGTGACTTAAAATAAGATTATGAAATTGCAGAACTGAGAAGAGAAATATCTGAAATGAAAAATTCACTGGTGGATTTAATGGTGAATTGGAGATGGCACAAGATGGTGAACTCGAAGTCAGATCCATAGAAATTATCCAATATGAAGAACTGAGAGAAGAAAATTGGTGCTGGAGTGGGTGGAGAGAGTCCTGATGGCCTCTAGGGTAATATGAAGCAATCTAATATACATATACTTAGAGTCCTAGAAGGAGAGGAAACAGGGAATAATTCAGAAAAATGTTTTTAACAAATAATGATTAGACTCCCATTTCTTGATTTCAAAGCTACAATAACTCAAACTCCATGATATTGGCATAAGGACAGACATAAATCAATGGAGTACAAGTGTGAGTCAAGATAAAAACACATACATATGTGGACACTTGATTATCTGTATGAGTGCCAAGACAGTTCAGTGAGGGAAAGAATAGTTTTTCAACAGATTGTGCTGTGACGACTGGATACCTACATGTCAGAGAAAGTGATCTCTTTAAAAAAATAAGTAAAAATGGTTCAGAGATCTAAATGTAAGAATTAAAATGATAAAACTCTTAGAAAAAAATAAATTTTGTGACATTGAATTAGGCAGTGATTTCTTAGGTATAATTCTTAAAGCACAAACAACCAAAGGAAAAGAAAAACAGGTGAATTGGGCTTGATCAAAATGAAAAACTTCTGTGCTTCAGAGGAAGTGAAAAGACAACCCATAAGAGAAAATATTTGCAAAATCATATATCTAAGAAGAGTCATGTCCATAATATATAAATAACTCCTAGAATTCAATAATAAAAAGGTAAATAACTTAATTAAAAATGGGCAAAGTATAAATGGAAAAATGGGCAAAGTATCTGAGTAGACATTTCTCCAAAGAAGATATATAAATAGCCAGCAAGCACAGAAGTGAAGTGAAACTCAGAATAGTTGTTAAAGACAGACACTATTGAATTATCCTTTCAGCCTGCAAATAGAGCTATAATCAAAAAGTTAAATAATAACAGGTGTTAAAGAATGGATTAATTGGTACTCCCATATGTTACATGTTACTATTAGAAATGTAAAATGATGCACTGCTTTGGAGAACAGTGGAGAATTGCTTTGGAGTTTGGCAGTTCCTCAAATAATTAAATGTAGACTTGCCATATGACCCACCAATTCCAGTCCTAGTTATATACCCCAGAGAACTGAAAACATATGTCCACCCCAAAACTTGTACATGGATGTTCACAGCAGCAGTAGTCATAGTAGCCAAAAAGTGGAAGCAACCCCAGTGCTCAAAAACTGATGAATGGAAAAACAAAATGTATATCAATGCAATATCAATGGAACTAATGTATAGTTGACCCCGAACAACATGGACTTAAACTGCGTGAGTCCACTTACATATAGATTTTTTTTATAAATATAGTACAGTACTGTAAATGTATTTTCTTTTCCTTAATATTTTCTGTTCTGTAGCTTTATTATAAAATACAGTATATATATAAGACATATAACAATATATGATCAATTGCTTATGTTACTGATAAGGCTTCCAGTCAACAGTAGGTTACTGATAGTTAAATTTTGGGGGAGTCAGAAGTTATATGCAGATTTTCAACTTCATGGGAAGAGCTGTGGGTTGGCACCCCTCACCACTTGTTCAGGGGTCAACTGTATAACTTGGCCATGTAAAGGTGTAAAGTACTGATACATGCTATAGCATTGATGAACCCTGAAATGTCATGCTAAGTGAAAGAAGGAAGACACAAAAGGTCACATATTGTATGCATATTGTGATTCATTTATATGTAATGTCCAAAATTTGCAAAATCTATAGAGACAAAATAAATTGGTGTGACTGCTTACAAATACAAGGTTTCTTTCTGGAGTTATATTATTTGATAGTGGTGATTGCTGTATACCTTGTGAATATATTAAAAACTATTGAAATTGCTTTTTAAAAGTGAATTTAAGTAAATTGTATCTAGATTATATCTCAACCTTAAAGAAATAATGGTTATTAATTTTTCATATTTGGGGAGAAAACAATCTGTGTTGAAGAAGCTCAGGAAATCCTAAGCAAGTAAATATATAGAAAAAACACACTTAGGTATATAATCAAACTGGTAAAAACCAGTATTATGTAGAAAATCTATGTAAAAAAAGAAACATAGCATAAAAGAGAACAGTAAGTGATAAATGATAGTTTATCCATTCTTATGAGAAATCAAAATACATAAAATCTTATTTTTAAAAAAGGAAAATACTAACAAATTGAATATAGCAGTATAGGGAAAGGACAGTATACCACAACAGTGTTGAGATTGTCCCAGGAATATATGGGTGATTCGACTTTGAAATTATCAATGAATTGATGTAATTCAGCATATTTACAGAAAAAAGTAGAAAAAATCATAAAATCACATAGATCCTTACTGGAAAAGCTTTTGACAAAATTCAGTACAAATTTGTCTTCAAAACTCTTAGCAAACTTAGGAATAAAACGAAATATCCTCGATTTGACCAAGAGTAATATGGAAAGCCTACAACTAAAATCATGCTAAGTGGTGGTTTATTCAGAGTTTCACCCTAAGATCAGGAGAAAGGTGAAGGTATTTGTTCCTATCACTCCTACAGGCAGTTTTGCTCTACTGCAAAATACATATTCCTAAAAAACAACGTACTGTTAAAAATCACAGGATTAAGGAGAAAATGCATTAAGGGCACAAAACCAAAAACTTTATTAGTGACAAATATAAAAGATAGGAACCTAACAAAAGCATAGTTTTACATATATTAAATGACTAAATACATAAATACTACAATAAGTATTGCCCTTTATATTGAAAGCAATTGGAAGTTTGCTTGTAGAAATGAGGATTGGGAAGGGTTTGCAGCTTGTCAGTTATTGTGAAGTGGCGGAAGGAAAGTCTCAAATCAGACGAAATTGTAGCATCAAATGTGGATGAATATAGCTTGTAACAAGAATTGAAGTTGCAGGTCTGTTGCTGAAGTGTATGTGTTTTGTGTATTTTGTGCCTCAGTTTAGCAGGGTGCAATTTCTGTGTTCACTTAGTAGTTCTTGTGGACAGTATTTGCAGAAGTAAATATGAAATTCACATTGCTCAAATTGTTCCCTAATATATCATTTATATATATATTATATATATTTGGAACAAATCCAAAAGATGTGAACAATCTATATGTATATACATAAATGTATGTGTGTGTATGTATATAAACCATTCATAAATATGTGTATGTTTATATATGAACAATTAGCACATGAAAAGATGTTCAACACCTTTAGTCATCAGTGAAGTGTATATTAAAATCACAATGAGTGCTTGGGGCTCCTGGGTGGCTCAGTCGGTTAAGTGTCTGACTCATGGTTTTGGCTCAGGTCATGATCTCAGGGCCATGAGATCAAGTCCCATGTTGGCCTGCATGTTCAGCAAAGTCTACTTAAGATTCCCTCCCCCGTGTCCCTCCTCCTGCTCTCTTTCCTTCTTTCTTTCTCTCTCTCTCTCTCTCTCAAATAAATAAAATCTAAAAACAACAACAAAAACAACCCACAATGAGTGCTTGCATTGCAGCATATAAACTAAAATTGGAATGATGCAGAGAAGATTAACATGGCCCTTGTGCAAGGATGACACAAATTTATGAAGTGTTCCATATTATTTTATTTTTTTATTCCATTTTTTTAAAATGATTAAAATTAAAAATACAGTACCAAGCTGAGGACTTGGAGTAACCAGAACTCTCATACTTTATTGGTGGTTGTGTAAAATTATGTTGTTACCTTGAAAAACAATTTGGCAGTTTCTAAATAATGTTAAATATAAACTTATTCTGTGATACAGCATTTCAGTTTCAAGGTATATATGCAAGAAAAATGGGGCGCCTCAGTCAGAGGTGGCTCAGTCAGGGGTCTGCCTTCAGCTCAGGTCATGATCCCAGGATCCTGGGATTGAGTCCCACATCAGGCTCTCCTCAGCAGGAAGCCTGCTTCTTCCTCTCCCTCTGCCTGTCATTTTCCCTGCTTATGCTCTCTCTCTGTCAAATAAATAAAATCTTTAGAAATGAAAGCATGCTCACAAAAGACTTGTACACTAATAGTTACAATCTTTTATTTTTTTATTTTTTAAAGATTTTATTATTCATGAGAGATAGAGACAGAGAGAGAGAGAGGCAGAGACACAGGAAGAGAGAGAAGCAGCCCCCATATAGGGAGCCTGACGCGGGACTCGATCACGGGTCTCCAGGATCACGCCCTAGGCTGAAGGCGGCACTTAAACTGCTGAGCCATCTGGGCTGCCCTAATAGTTAGAATCTTAATGTCTGTTATCAGGTTTTTGGGCGAACAGAGTAGTTTATCAATCCAATTCAGCAGTAAAAGGGGAACTAACTATATACATGCACTAACATAGATGAATTTCCAAAGCATTATGCTAATAAGTAAAAGATTTTAGATGATACAGTACTACATAATAGGATTCTATTTATATCTGATTATATTACAGGCAAAACTAATCTTGTGATACAAATCAGATCAGCTGGGTCAAAATGAGGGAACTGATTGCAAAGGGCACCAAAGAACTTTCTGGTGTGATGGTAATATTTTATATCTTGTTTGGGCAGATACTAACTAATGCAGTGTTAATTTATTTAACTGTACACTTAAAATTTCTGCATTTTACTCTGTGCATCATGTCTCAATAAAGTTGACTTAATTTACAAAGCTTTTTGACAAAGTACAGGTGAGAACAGTCATGGTCCCTGCCTTGTGGAGCTTAAGAGTAGTATGGCATGACAATACAAATGATATTATAGAGTCAAGTATATGAACTCTGTGAACTTAACATACACTTGGGAAGTTAGAAATTTCCTAGAGGAAGTGATGTTGAAACTGAAGATGGAGGAGGATATTTTTGGGTAGTGAGTAGTTGTGTTAAGTGGTCAGGGAATAGGCAAGAAGAAAGAGTGTTTTAGGCAAAGGAGATATTTTATGCAGAGGCAGAAGAATGAGAGAGTATGCCTAAAAGAATGTTTGAGCAGGTGGCAGATTGTCGAGATCATTGGAGCAGAGAATGTGTGTGTGGGAGAAGGGAAAGAAAATAGAGTATCTTAAGTGAGAGCAGGAGATTATGATGAAGAGGTTAGCAGAGATGTAAGTCATTCAGAACCTGAAAGGCTTTGGAAGAAGTTTGATTTTATTCTAAAAGAGCAGAGCAGCTGAGTGAGAAGATCTGATTTGTATTTTAGGAAGATCGCTGTGACTCCAAATGTGAAAAATGAATTAAAGGGGTTAAGATTTGGGACATGAGACCCAGCTGCAAGGGTTTTCAGAAATGTCAGACAGTTGTTAGTTTGTACTAGGAAAGCAGCCCTGGGAATGTTGAAAGTGAATGGATTCAGATCTATTTAGGATGTGAACTCAGTAGAACTAGCTTGAATGTAGGAGATGGGGAGGAGGAATCAAGGGGGGAAACTTATTTCTTTACTTGTGGATTTGTTGAAGTCACATATGCCTAACGACGTATCTACTAGGTTAATGAATGTATGGGTCCTAGTCATGAGAAGGATCTTAGCTGGAGACAGATATTGAGACTTAATCATCCATAAATGATGTAGAAGTAGGTAAGCTTATGAAGGTGAATATATGGAATGAAAAAAAGCAAAAAAAGCAACACGGTACTAGACTGGAAACTTGAAAAATATCAACATTTGGGATGCTTGGGTGGCTCAGTCAGTTAAGCATCTGACTCTTGGCTTTGGCTCAGGTTGTGGGATCGAGCCCTGCATCGGGCTTCACTCTTGCATGGAGTCTGCTGGAGATTCTCTCCCTCTCCCTCTGTTCCTCCTTCTCCCCACTCCCACCCTCATCATATAAAATAGATAAAAAAAAAAAAAACCCACAACAAGCAACATTTAAGGAATAGTGCCAGAATAGATTTGAAAATGAGAATGAAGGAAGATGAGGGAAAAATAAGTATGGTATAACAAACTTAAGGATGACTGCTTCAAGAAGGATATTCAAAGGTGTTACATGTTTGATTAGGACTTAAAACAAGGACTGAAAGGTGTCATTGTTGACTTTCAAGAGAGGAATTTGCAAGAGTGGTGAGGGTAGCCCACTGATTGTGGGATAATAAGGCTGACTACTAGTTTGGTCACCTTAAAAGTTAGCTCTGAAGGGGAAGAGGACTGTAGCCAGAAAGTTGAGGTTGAAGGAAGTTTTTTTGTTTTTGCTTTAGGTGCTTATTTTATTTTTGGGAACAACTAATGGGAAACAGTGATTAGAGAGAAAATGGTTACAGATAATTATAGGAAGAAATGAGAATAATTAATTCAACTCGGTTTCAAAGATTCGCAAAATGGGACCTAGCAAACAGGATAGGAGATGTTCTTTAGATTGTATCAGGAGGGAAGTAGATGGTTGGTTGAAGGTAAGTTTGTAGATTGGATCCTGGTAAAATGAGAAGATTTAAGAAAATTGGGGCACTTGACTAGTTCTTGGAGTTGTGCAACTCTTTAAAATCTTTTTTTTTTTAATTTTTATTTATTTATGATAGTCACACAGAGAGAGAGAGAGAGAGGCAGAGACACAGGCAGAGGGAGAAGCCCCATCGCACCGTGGGCCAAAGGCAGGCGCCAAACCGCTGCGCCACCCAGGGATCCCTGGAGTTGTGCAACTCTTGATCCAGAGTTGTGCATTTGAGCTCCATTTTGGGAGTGTAGAGTGTACATTTTAAGTGTAGAGATTACTTAAAATCTTTCTAGGGCGGCCCCAGTGGCCCAGCGGTTTAGCACCGCCTTCGGCCTGCGGTGTGATCCTGGAGAGCTGGGATCGAGTCGCCACACCGGGCTCCCTGCATGGAGCCTGCTTCTCCCTCTGCCTGTGTCTCTGCCTCTTGCTCTCTCTGTGTCTGTGATGAATAAATAAATAAAATCTTTTTAAAAAAAAAAAGTCTTAAAAAAAAAAAAAGATTTAAGAAAATCCTGAAAGTTTAACAAATTTTAGTGCTGACTTCAGCATTGATTCCTTTAGCTTTCAGAGCATATTCTCTCATCCTGAAAATTATATTTTAGAAGATATATTTGAAAAAAATCTCTTCTCTTTCCATCCCCCCCCCCCCATACCAAAGTGATCCTGGAAAGAAATGTCAAGATTTATCAAAGTAAGCCTTTAAACTATGGCCTTGTATTTTCCTCGTCAGAATGCTGACTCTACTATTAGAGGTGACTCAACAATCAAATAAAATAATATTGCTATGTATGTTAGTTTGCTTATTTTGCCATAACAAAATACTACAGACTGGATGCCTTCAACAAGAGAAATTTATTTTCACACAGTTCATGAGGCTAGAAAATCCAAGATCAAGGTCTAGCAGGGTTTAATTTCTGGTGAGGATTGTTTTCCTGGTGTGCAGATGGTTACCTTCTCTCTGTGTCCTTGTATGTCCTTTCCTCCTTGTGTTTGGAGAGAGCGAATGAGTGAGCTCTGTGCTGTCTTTTCTTGCTGGATACTAATCCTGTTAGATCAGGGCCCCACCCATATGAGCACACTTAACCTTAATTGATTCCTTAAGGGTCCATCTCCAAATACAGCCACCCCGAGGATTAGGGCTTCAACATGAGAATATTAGGGGGACATAAACATGTAGTCCATTACACTTTATTAGCAACTCCTACATTTTTAATGGGTGTTAGATTCTTTATGGATCATATGGAAAATTTTTGTTTGCTCTCTTGTCTTAATAGAACTTGCAGTATTTTTTATTTGAGGTATAATTGGCATCTATAGTATTATATTACTTTTAAGTATTTAACATGCTGATTTGATATTTGTATATATTGCAGAAAGATTATTAGTTAAATCCATCACCATTTTTTTCTTGTTATGAGAATTTTTAAGTTTTACTCTCAGCAACTTTAAAATATGCAATATGATATTACTAACTGTAGTCATCAAGCTGTACGTTACATCCCCATGACATTTCATTTTTTTTTAAAAGATTTTATTTATTTATTCATGATAGTCAACAGAGAGAGAGAGACAGAGAGGCAGAGACACAGACAGAGGGAGAAGCAGGCTCCATGAAGAGAGCCCGACGTGGGATTCAATCCCTGGTCTCCAGGATCGCCCCCGGCCAAAGGCAGGCGCCAAACCGCTGTGCCACCCAGGGATCCCCCCATGACTTATTTCATAACTGGAAGTTTATACCTTTTGATCCCCTTCATCCTTTTTCTTTCTTTTTTTTTTTTTTTTTAAGATTTTATTTATTTGTTCATGAGAGATACAGAGAGAGAGGCAGAGACACAGGCAGAGGGAGAAGCAGGCTCCATGCAGGGAACCTGATGCGGGACTTGATCCCTGGTCTCCAGGATCATGCCCTGGGCGGAAGGCAGACGCTCAATCGCTGAACCACCCAGGCTGCCCCCCTTCGTCCTTTTTGCTTAACATTTCACCCCCTGCCTCTGGCCAATTATCAGTTTATTCTCTGTATTTGTGAGCTCCCCTCCCCCTTTTATATTCTACATATAAGTGAGATCATTAAGGCATGAGTCTTTCCTTTTCTGACTTATTTCACTTAGATAATGCCTCAGGGTCCATCCATGTTGTCACAAATGTTGAGATCTTGTTCTTTTTAATGGTTGGATAATATTCCATTGTACATATATTACATCTTTATCCATTCATCCATCAGTGAACAGTTAGGTTGTTTCCATGTCCTGGCTAATGTAAATAATGCAGCAGTGAGCATGGGAGTGCATATATCTTTCAGAGATAGCGATTTTGTTTTCTCTGGAAAAATACTTAGAAGTAGAATTGCTGGATTATGTGTAGTTTATTTTTAAGTTTTTGAGAAACTTCCATACTGTTTTCCATAGTGGCTGTACCAGTTTATAGTAGTCCTATCAATACAAAAAGGTTCCTTTTTTGGACATCCCCATCAACATTTGTTATTTCTTATCTTTTTGATAATAGCCATTTTAATAGGTGTGAAGTAGTATCTCATGGTTTTGATCGGCATTTCTCTGAGAATTAGTGATGTTGAGCATCATGTGCCTATTTGTCATATATAGGTCTTTGGAAAAATGTTCAGATCTTATGCCTATTTTTTAATTGTATGGTTTGTATTTTGTTGGTGGGTTGTATGGATTCATTGTATATTTTGGATATTACCCCACTACTAGATACATGATTTGCAAGTATTTTCTCCTCTTTTTGAAAGAAATCATCATTTTGTTGATGGTTTTCTTTGCTGTGCACAAGCTTTTTAGTTTGTTGTCCTACTTGCTTTTGTTTTGTTTTTTTGTTTTTGCTTTTGTGGCCTTTGCTTTTGGTGTTGAGCTTACACTATTATCTATAAATTAAAGGGCTTTTGTTTCCCACTTGTAATAGTTTGAGTTTAATGTTGTTTATCTCTAATGTGTGTGTATACAGTTCAGACTGTATTAATATTTTAGTTAAACAACACTGGTAATAATATTTAAGTAAATAGTACTTTCCAGATTATTTTTATAAAAGTGAAATTAGATTAGTTTATCAGGCATTCTGACTCTAAATATTCATGAAAGCAAATAAATATGGTATCAAGCTCACCTTCATTTGTAAGAATTTGTTGAACTGAAAAGATATACACCTATACACAATTGCTAATGTATGTTAAGAAGATACTAGAAATGTAATGAATCAAGAGTCTGTCTGGAATTTTATTGTGAAGCTTTTAAAAACGATTTCCTACCCCCACCCCAACCTAATCATGGAAGAAGGAACATGTCATGAGTAGGAGCTGAGGGGGCTTTGACTGAGACATCTGTCACTTTATTCATTGCCATGATTAATTCAGTTGCTGTGACTGCCTACGTAGCTATTTCCTCTGTTACTGCTCTCATAGTTCCTTTGAGTTTATTTCATTAAATAGTTTACTTTCCTCCTAGATAGAGATGTGGAATGTTCTGTTGCAACATATGTATACAAATACCTGCACTCTCTTGAAAGACCCCTCATTTGCAATAAAGGCTAGTTGTTTGTAATTGTCAGCTATCAATTATGGGCGTCCTCATTGTTTAAGTTTAGAAACCTGCAAAACAGTGGTCATCTGGGAAAAGCAGAACTTTAGTACTTTCTCTGATAATAGGAGCCATTGAGGGGATTAGCAGCCTATGCTGAAACAGCATTAGACAATGGTGGAATTTTTCCCCCTTGATTTTTCAAACCACTGTTTTGAGAGATCCTAACTCCTTTTTTTTCTTAATCAGATTGTATACAGTTTTAAGAAACTCTGATAGTACTTAAGTTTAAATAGGTTGTAAATTCAAACTACATGAAAATAATATTTTCTTTGAAATATGAACTTTCATATTTTCTGCCACTCATAAATAACCAAAATGAGCAATTAAATGAGCAGCATAGAGAACTGTACAATATCCAAAAAAGCCATTCTAAATTTAGAGATCAAGTATAAAAAAGTTAAAGTTTTCTTAAATAGGAATAATTGTTATAATGTTAATCCATTTGAATATAATAGAATTGATATAGTGAACATTTTATTGTTCATCCTGGTCAGGAAATCAGGACAAATCCCTTTAATCTAGCCTAAGCAAAGCAAATACAGCTGATTGTAAAGTTGATTAAGTAAGGTAGGGACCCTCTCTCTGCCATCCATGTCCTCTCCCATCTTTTAGTTTTGCCTTTCTCTCTCTCATTCTCTCCTTTTGCCTTTTCATTTTTACAGACTTTTATATTTTCTCATATTCTTTGCCCTTGTGTGCCTATGCCTGAAAACATCTACCTTCATTCTTATGGATCTCTAGTTCAAGGGCCCAATGAATCTAAAATCCCTTTGTACCTGGAGAGACCATTTGTCTCAGCTGTTCCCCTCCCCTCTAGGCAGCTGTGACCAGTGGGTAGTTAAATAGTAGCTTACCTTTTTACTCAGCAGATCTATGAGATCAGACTCTCTTAAGATAGGAGGAGGTATGACTGATTATTTGCATCTAAAAAATATACTTTAGGAAATAGCAATAGGTAGTCAAGTGCCTTTGCTTTTGGTAGGAGAGCATGCACTTAAGTTTCCTAGTCATTTTGGAGCTTGTCATTACTTGGATAATGTAATGTTGTCTGTTAATAGTATCCAAGTAGGCTGTAACTAAATGTTTTTTTTCTGCCATTATTATTTGTCTCAGTTTTTACCAAAGGACTTATGGAACCGTGACTTTTTGGTAAAATAATGTTTGAATGTAATTACTGTAAGTATTTCGGGCTTATGGAGGAAGTGGTATTGTGTAGTAGTTACAAACCAGGACTCTTGAGTCAGACTCATCCTAGCTTGACCACATATGACTCTCTCCGCTCCCTGAGCTTTGTAATTAATTTTTTATCTGTGAAATAGCAATAATAATCATTTTTACTGTAAGCGTTGTTATGAAGATTAAATTACATAGTCCATATAAACAGCATTAGTGCAATGCCTCACACAGTAAGTGTTCAGTTAGTGTTGGCTCTTATTATCTTTTTTTTTTTAGTGAAAAGAGAATTAGTCACCTCATTTACATAACTGCTTATTTGTCCAGTGATCAATTCCTCAACTGCCTAAAAGATTCAGTGTAGGTATAGGATATAGATTTAGCTTTGACCTTAAAAGGTACATTTTAACAGCTTTTTTACAGCCTAATTGACCTACAGCAAACTATATACATATTAAAAATGTACACTTTGATAAGTTTATATAATTTATGTATTCATTTACCTGTTGACACTTAGGATGTTTCCTGACTTTTGGCTGTTACAAATAATGCTACTGTGAATATTCACACACAAGTCTTTGTGTGGTTGTTTTTGTTTCTCTTAGGTAATTACCTAGTTGTAGAATTACTGGATTACATGGTAGGTATATATTTACCTTTTGAAAAAACTACCAAACTGTTTTCCAAAGTGGTTGTACTGTTTTACATCCTTAATGGCAGTGTATGTGAATTCTGTTCCACATTCTTGTCAGTGCTAGACATGGCCAAGTCAAAAAAACTATTTTTGAAGTTACTATTCTTTTCTTCTTTTATGGTTTTTTTCCTCTTATATTTTAAATACATAGTACATAAGGATTATTTAGAAAAAGTACAAAATATGCCAGGTAGCTAAAGATTTTTAACTTCTTATAATTTAAAAAATATGGAATTGAACTGAATTCTCTTTACTGGGAAGTTAACAGATCATTTGCTAAAAATATTGGATAATTGGGGGAGATACAGTTCTTTGAGAATAATTTCCTAATATGTGTACCTGTTTTATATGTGTATTTTTTTTCCTTTGGTAGAGTTTTCCAGAAAAGGACCTTCTGCACTGCCCATCTAAGGATGCAATTGAAGCTCATTTTATGTCTTGTGTGAAAGAAGCTGATGCATTAAAGCATAAAAGTCAAGTAATCAATGAAATGCAGAAAAAAGATCATAAGCAGCTCTGGATGGGATTACAGAATGGTAAATACAGCAGTTTAATTTCTGACTACCACTTTATAAAGTATGAAATATCTATAATCATGTGAGTAATTGGTATACCTTAACATTGGTGGTACAAGTTTAAATTCTGGCCTCTACACACAAAATTTTACAAAGAAGCTTTTAGTCATCTCTTACATTGTACTCTTCCAGCATTCTTCTCTTCATGGATTTCCCACCATAGATTGATTGCTTTGCCCATAACATCAGAGGATATAACTTCATGTGTTTAGCTTCTGGAGAAAGTACCCTTATTACTAGTCATCGTCTTTCTGGAGTTAAAACTGAATACCCTGTGTGCATACCAAAGTACCTCCCTTTAAATGGGGTACAGACTCTAACCCCTGCTTTCTCAGAACAGTAAGACTTGCTTTGTACTTGGATTCCTTCTCTCCTGGCTGGAATTTAGAAGATACACTCAAGGGAAAAGCTGAGAGAATTCTGCAGCTCACCTCTGTATTCTCTTTTAGATCAAAGCTCCTTAATCTTGCTTGCATTGATAGTCTTCCAGTGCCTTCAAAACAGTTTCTTACATACAGGTAGCCATTGTTTTGCATGGGTCCAGTATGCATGAATTTCAGTTAATATGCTTTAGTTAAATAATATCAGGTCCTTAACAATATGGTTCAGATTTCACTTACCACTGCATATTAACTGAAATTACATAAAGTATGAACTTTTTTGCTAGCTCTCTAGTCCATGAGTCATTTAACAACAGATATGCATCATGATCAAAGACCAGTCACATCACTTCTTTCATTGTCACTATATCATCATTATTCATCTGTTAGTTTACCCACAGACAGCAAAGCATGTAGTTGTGTTGCCTCCTTGTCTCTTGTGATAAGCCCATATGATATTTTGTAAAAGTGCATATTGAAAGAGGGAATTGGACAAGAAAGATGAAAGTATAGCAAAGAAACAAAGTGATAACGGTGGTAGCAGAATTTCATTAGAATAATAGAATTTTAGAAGAAACAGCTGACTGTGGGAAGGTTGACACTACCACCTTTGAGAAACTAGATACACAGCTACAGGAACTTAGGGGAAGTGAACTTTTCCATATATATGAGGAAAGTGGTTGTGATGAAAAGGGTGAATTTATCCCAGAGAAAGTGCTGCTGACAAAGAACTAGCATTTAAAGAATCTCTCCGAAATATTTCATGACATCGAAAGTGCAAATGATAACATGTTTAGAAGTTGATCTAGACCTAGAAAGGAATAGGACAGTTCAGCAAGACTTAGTAGAGATGTTTGCTTATAAGTTACATGTCAAGAAAGCAAGCACTATTCAAACTGTGCTTAAGGTTTTTACAAAGCAATAAATAAAGCACTTGAATTCTCAACGTTTCTAATGTTTTGAAATTGTGGTATATTAAATATATTAGTTTCATTTACTTTATTCATTTTCTTATACATTTATAACTTAACAAGGAGAGTTTTTAATGTTTGGACAGTTTTTAAAGATTACATTATTGATGATTAAGATCACTTTGCATGGTTTCATGGTCACTTTTCCAGTCCTACACTACTGTGTAAAGCTAGGACTGCCTATTTTATCCATCTTTGATAGTTGTTTTTAGATAGGGAGCTAGTCCAACATAAACTGAACTTTTGTGGCAATAGCTAGAATAAAATAGAAGACCTGCCTTCTCCCCCTGCCCACCCCCCTAGAAGAAACCCATAATTTTAAAAAATGTGATCCATTTTTTATCTTTTGGACTATATTATTACCATGTCCGAGAGGAGTTTTTGGTTATTTAGTATTTACTAAAGTTTCATTATGTAAAACGAGGCATCATCTGAGACTTCAGTAGTGCAAAAGGTTCATGTTTTATGACATTTTGTACTCTAAATTAATTTTTCTCATTTAAGTCTCTTAGATTTGAGTTACATGGAGTTGCTCCTTAGTTTTATATTTGTATGTCTAGTATCTGTCAATTAGATTATAAACTCTGCAAAGGCAGGCCTTTTTCCTCTTTTATCTTACTGAGTATACAAATGCCTACTAAATAATTAAGACTTCACAACCTTTTAAGAAGGTGTACTTTTCTTTTGGCCAGATCCACCGTCTTTCAGTAATTTGCCAAAATGACCAACACAAAGGGAAAGAGGAGAGGTACCTGCTATATGTTCTCTAGGCCTTTTAGAAAACAAGGGGTTGTTCCTTTGGCCACATACATGTGAATCCATAAGAAAGGTGATATTGTAGACATCAAGGGAATGGGCACTGTTCAAAAAGGAATGCCCCACAAATGTCACCATGGCAAAACTGAAGGGTCTATAGTGTTACTCAGCATGCTGTTTGCATTGTTGTAAACAAACAAGGGCAGGATTCTTGCCAAGAGAATTAATGTCTGCATTGAGCATATTAAACACTCAAAGAGCTGAGATAGCTTCCTTAAGTGTGTGAAGGAAAATGATCAGAAAAAGAAGGAAGCCAATGAGAAAGGTACTTGGGTCCAACTGAAGTGACAGCCTGCCCCGCCCAGAGAAGCACACTTTGTGAGAACCAATGGAAAGGAGCCTGAACTGCTGGAACGCATTTCTTATGAATTCATGGCATGATAAATATAAAGAAAATGAAAGACCTCAGGATTGTTTAAAAAATAAATAAATAAAAAGGTGTACTTTTTCCTTTTTCTTACTGGCTATCTGAAGATGAACTGAAATTTTAGGCAACTTGTGAATAAGAAGATAACCTAAATCAAAGAAAGCCAAATCTTCTCAAGAGAGCAAGGATCCAAGAATAATTTGGCTTCAGAATTGAAGTAAATAATTTTAATGGGCATTTAAGTAGGTGTTCTTGAAATCTATTGTGAATGTGGTGAGTCTGCTATTGAGAGCTCTGGGATTCAGCAGAGGATTCTAAAAATTATTAAAATATTTCACATGGGGCACTGGAGGCTTTAGTGTGGTGGGTGGTGGTTAAGAGTTGTTAGGGACACCTGGGTGGCACAGTCAATTAAGTCATGATCTCAGGGTCATGAGGTGGAGCCCCACATCAGCTCCACATTCAGTGTAGAGTGTGCTTGAGATTCTCTCTTTCTCTCCCTCACCCCACTTGTTCATGCTCTTTCTCTCTCAAATAAATAAATAAATCTTTTAAAAAAAGTTATTTAGTTTCATCTCTCTTAGCAGCTCGGTAGGGCAACTCAGTCAATCCTTTTGAGCTTCAGTTTCTTTATATGTAAGACAGGAGAATATCTGCTTTGTTCTTTTATAGGTGTCCTAGAGGCTTTAATGAAACATTAATACAGTTTATGTGAAAGTGTGTGAAAGAAAGTAAAGCTGTCTTGATAAAAAGAATTGTTGAGAAGTCACTTTGAGACTCTAGGACAGGGGTTGGCAAACTATGGTCATGGGCCAGCCACTTGTTTTTGTAAATAAATAAAGATTTATTAGAACCCTTCCACACCCATTTAATTGTGTATTGTCTGTGACTGCTTTCATGCTACAGCAGCTGAGTTAAATAGTTGTGACAAAGACCATGTGGCCGACAGCCTAAAATATTTACTCTCTCTGACCCTTTTAGAAAACATTTCGCAGTTGACAGAAGGTTGACCAGACCAACAGCTCATATTTACTATTGACCTAAAGCATGACTTAAAATGTCACATTCAGAACTTGGTATAACTAATGTAGCAGATTTGGTCTTATATCTGCCTTCATTGCAGTTTTTGGCATAAAATTCCTTTTTTCCTATTTTTACCATAGCTTCCATTCTTCTTTAAATATATGAATGTTTTAAAGTTAACGTTGCTAAGTTAAATTTTATTAAATTACTTTTCAAATTGGATTTCATTAAATCTGACTTAAAATGGTATGTGGTTAAAATTAGTTTATTCCATTTTCATTTTTAGCTATAAAATTATTTTTGTAGCTATTATGTTTAATCTTGTTTGTATTGGTAATGATCGAGCTTACACTCAAAATCCTCTGTGTAGTATCCTGTGGGTACTGGAGACCTTGGCAGTTTTTTTATTCTACTTGTAAAAAACGAAAATATTCATTTAGGAAATTTTTAGCTAGGTGGTTTGTAGAGAATATATTTTGGGATAAAAGGCTGAATGTTACCTACATTAAAGTAAGTTGGTGAAAGGTGGGTGTAGTAGTTCCTTCTGCCTAAAATGCCCTTTCCTTTTTTGTGTCTAACTCCTGCTTATGTTTGAATGCTCAACTCTATTGTCACCTGGTATGTGAAGCCTTCTTTCTTTTATCTTTTTTAGCTGACCAATCATTCTCGAACATCTATCATGAGCCTGACACTCTGCTAGGAGTTAGTGACTATCCAGCAGTGATGAAACAGATGTGCACCCTGTCTTCATGGAGCTTATGGCCACATGGAGGCAGAATTATCCACATTTTCATGTTGGCCATGGCTCCTTGTCCTTTCATACACATTTTTACTCTCTCATTTTATCACACTCTGGGTAGTTATGATTTATGTAATTCTGCTAGAATATAAATTTCTCCCAGTTAGAGTGTATTATACATTTTTTAATCTTTAGCACCTAGTCCAGTCTTAGGCATAGAGCAGATAAAATAAATACTGACTGAAGGGCTATTTTACTCCTTTTTAATACTATAAGGAAATAATATTAACAGCCTTTTATAAATAGTTTAATATTACTGTAAAATAGAGGAAATGTTTTGTTTGAATTTATTTAAGGAAATGGGTTTTTATGTTTAAGAACTTTTCATCCAAAAGAACGTCCTCTTAATATGTGAAGACAAAGATATTTCACATTTTGGTTTGTATGATTGTAAATTGGGTCAAGTTGGGGCATAGCAGATGATAAATTTATTTCATTCAGAACTGCACCTGTAGATCATAACAAGTAAACAACGATTTAAACAGTTTTTGAATACTTTCAAATGCTAATTTTAATTTTTCAGATCTGTGTGAAAGAGAAATAAGAAAAACTTTTGAAACCAAGAAAACTCATTTAAGACATACTGTGCCTTTCAGTGTTTTTTA